AATATTAAAAAAAGTCTTGAATGTAACCAAACTCCAGATCCAAACAATCCATAATTGCCTCCTATAATTTTATTTCTACAAAACCATTTTTTTCTGCTGTAGATGATAATTCTCTTTGACTTGTCACCTTTTATGGTTTGGTTCTAATTACTATTTTCAATTTTTTACTCCAATAATGGATTCCACATATAACCTCTCCAAATTTTTAATTTTTGGGCTCAAAATTTTATAACACTATTTTATATGCTGAATAATTAATACAATCACCTTTTTGTATATTTTCAGAAGTAATTCCCAGGGGACAAAGTTTGCTTTACTTCACCAAACATTTTCTCTAAAGTATTTACATTTGAATCAGCTAATGAAATTCCATATAATGTTGAAAACATACCTAACTTGAGTATAATTTCCATTGTAATAAATAACAAAGTACTAACATCCAGTACTTTATATCCTAATTGGTTTATAATAATAACTTTCAAGGACTAGAAATTTTCATTACATGTTTAAGTGAGTTAAATTAGATAATATGGTTTGAGTAAGAATATAAAAATCATAGACAGTATGTTTTGATAAAAATGTCAAGTTTATATCAAAAGGGAGCATCCATATCTATATCAATATAAAATATATAAATAAGTAGTTGCCTTTTAAAATTAATTTTAATGATCTACACTTTTACATCATACACATATATGCCCCTTTATTTTTTTTTAGATTCAGTAATGTACACTTTTATCCTATCATTTCATTGGGTGCCTTTTGTAAGTGGATGTATATTTATGAATATATAGAGCTGGTTTTGGAGATGGACACTGGCTCTGTCCCTCTATAAATCCAAGCATGTCATTAAAATAAAAATTCAGAGTTTCTCTCTCAATGTCAGGATCATGGGACAGAAAGAAAAAAGAATTTAGAAAAATTTTCACTTTTCTACATTTCTACTTTCAAGTCTATTGTATATGTCATTGAATATATATGTCTGTATATGACTATAAATAATGTTTCAGTTTTCCACAATGAACAATGAATTTTCCTGCAGTAATTTTTGAAGTTTCAGGAAGAAGTTGGGGCCCCACAACAACAACTCAACCTGGTTGATACAATGGCATGATGATGATAGTGCTACTACCAGACGTGTTTTGCATACCACCTGCTCAAGATGGTTCCAACTTGGTTAGCTGAAATGGTCCACTTTTTACAATGTTCTGGACAGACCTTATAAGAGGAAGATCAGAAAACCTTTACAAAATACTCAGAGACTATTTCCAGTTATACCAGACAGTAATCTTGGAACTTAACCATCATTTTACTTTTGCAGGATCCCATAGAAAGAACATTGCCCCCATAACAGCTGGAAGTAATTCTAAAAGACTACAATCCCCTCTACCAACAAAGTTTGTCCGAGGGTTAGGGACATCATTTAGGGGTTGATTATAATTGGTATAGGGTTGCAGGTGAGAAGAGAAATTTTATGGGCTCAGGGATTTATTTTTATTCTTAAATTTTATGTATGATGTATGTATGTATGTATGTCTCAATATTCTGCCTGCATATATGCTTGCGGGCCAGAAGAGGGCACCAGATCTCATTACAGATGGTTGTGAGCCACGATGTGGTTGCTAGGAATTGAACACTTAACCTTTGGAAAAGCAGGCAGTGCTCTTAACCACTGAACCATCTCTCCAGTCCCAGGGATTTCTTTGAAAAAAAGGGAAAATTGGATGGAATAATAGATTTGTGTGAGTTTACATACATTAATAATAATAGTGAGTAATAGAGTGAATGCTTGTGAGTTATAATTTATAGGCAATTGCTTTGATATAGATTTTTGTATATTGATATAATGTTAAATATTGAATATTGTATGCATACATGCTTCTACCAATGCTTAAAACATTTTATATATTGACAAATATATTTATCAAATTGCAATGTACATTTCTTCCACTGATCAAGATATTTATTCATTGGTTACAATTTGAGCACATTGTACTCATTTGTTGTACAGTTGCTTATTTACAATATTCTAATATGAAGTCTTAGTCTTTAAGTTATACAGGTATTAGAATTATAGATCAATAGTCATCTATGTTTGTCATACTTACAGTTAGAATAATCAGGTTTTTCACACACATAAAATATTTTTCATAGATAGGTAATCTTCAGCCACTTCAAAGAGCTGTAATATATGGAATTTAAATAACCTAGGGTACTGTTGAAGTGAGACACGATTACTACTGGTAGCATTGTCTATTTCCAGAGAATGTTGAGCACCGGAGACACTCAAAGCTTGTTTTCTTGTTGTCAAAACTGGCCTTTGGTCAAAGACATGTTCATGCCTCAACCTCTGACAAAATACATGGTATCCAAAAAATGGATAACAGTTCTGTTAAATCTTGACTGGCATTCATCTCAGAAACAAATATACCTACCTCTGTTTGCTGAGCATTGTGGTAAAGGCAAAATACACCAATATGCCCAGTTTGTCCATCTTTTTTTTCCCTTTCTGTAGGCATTAATTTTCTCATGCATACAACATACTGTTGATCTTTTCTCTTTTTCTTTCCCCATGAATAGATACTGCTCTTATAAGGTGGTATCCTATACAAAGGACACAGAAATAACAGAATTGATTCTCCTTTTCAATTTCCTTCTAAAGTGACTGTCTATGTCATGGAACAAAAATGGGGAACACCAGAATCATAAAACTATACTTTCAAAGAAGTATGCATTTCACTGTCATACTTACATTGTACTCATGTATGGTATATTTTTGAAGGCAGTGACGTATGATGATGTGCACATCAACTTCACTAAGGAAGAGTGGGATTTACTGAATCCTTCCCAGAAGAATCTCTACAAAGATGTGATGCTGGAGACCTACAGGAACCTCACTATTCTAGGTGAAAAAGAATTTCTTTCATGTTTCAAAATATGGAGACAACTTTTCCTTGGTTTATGATTTTGTTCTGTAATTTTTTTAGAGAAAGAAGAATGAGGTGAATAACACAGTCACAATCCATAGGAGCACTTAAGATAATAAGCTAATTGTTGCACATTCTTAAATAATATGACATATATTCTGGTACTGTATTTTAGGATACTTTTGGGAAGACCTTAACACCAAAGAGCATTGTCAATGTTCTAGAAGACATGCAAGGTAATTTTCTTGGGCAAGTTCATAACAATTTCCCTTGAATAGTTTGTAATGTGTTCTGGAACTTTAAAACAAAAGCAACAGTGTAAATAACCACAGCTTTAAATATATTGATGGTTATTAAGTTCTCACAAATCCATATACCTCAATTTCATGTATGTGAATTGCATCTGCAAAGCCTTCATTTAAGAAAAAGTCTAGGTAGCAATACCTAAGCAGATATCACCATTTGATCCATAGCACCATGAGAGCTATGTTGTAGAACTGCTGCTTCATTTGCTTCTTGCTATTCATGACAGAAAATGTATACATATTTCAGTGATGATGAGTATAGCTGCAAAACTTTCTACTAATTCAATAGCCCATGGTAAGCCTTGTATCACTCATATACTTTTTGTGACTGTGCTAATTTTAATGAAATCAGACTAGTCAAGGGTCAAGGGGCAGTTGTTGTGGAGAAACCTCAATATCTATACCAAAAGTCTGTGAAAGTCGAACCTTGTAGATTCATTTTGGAAACCTTTTATACACTATTCTGTTGTAATCATTGGAGCGGTGGGGCTGCGTCCCCGGCACCCCCGCTGCCTGCACGGCTAGCTTTAGCTTATGCCCCGAAATAATTACACGGAAACTGTATTCTTTTAAACACTGCTTGGCCCCTTAGTTTCAGCCTCTTAACCCATTTCTATTAATCATTGTGCACCACGAGGTGCGCTTACCAGGGAGATTCTAGCCTACGTCTGTCTGGAGTGGGAGAATCATGGCGACTCCTTGACTCAGCTTCCTTCTCCAAGCATTCTGTTCTGTTTACTCCACCCACCTATGTTTTAACCTATGAGGGCCAAGCAGTTTCTTTATTGCTTAACCAATGAAATCAACAGATTGATATGACACTCCCATATCACTATTCTTTTTTCATATATATATATACATATATATTTTTATGTATATATATGATATGTCACTATTGACACAAGTGTATGAGCATAGGAATATGGAATAGAAATATGGAAATATTTAGCATACCTCTCTTTAAGAACAATTAAGAAGATAAACTGTAGTTCCTATGTAGAGTGTACATGTTTAATTTGATCCACAAATACAAAGTTAATTTATTTTCTATCATCATGGGTAATACATAAATACAAACTCACATTACAACAAAAACAAACAAACAAACATGAGTTCTTGGTCTATGCAAATACTTCTGGGTGTCTTAGTTCACTTCCCAAATGTATAATGGTTCACAATATAGTAAAATTATGAATGGAGTAAAGTTGGTAAAGCACTCAGTATATGGAGTTCTCTTAAAATGTAAAAAATATCCTAGAAGATTATAGTTATAGTTATAGATGAAAACGTAAACAATGACATAATGGTATTTTTCATCACAAATATTTTTCTAGATGTAAAATGACCCCTAATGAGAGAACAAAAAATGATTTTAAACAAAGCTATAAAACCTTGATATTTGATTCCTTTTTACAATTTGAAAAAAAAGAAATTAATTCATATAGATATGAGGTTCAACTTCTTTGAAGGTGGTAAAGCTTTTACATGTGTAAATTATCCTTGCAGGATTGAAAGAAATCAAACTGGAGAGAAGTTTTCAGTATATTCTCACTGTGGTAAAGTCTTGTTTTATAACTCTGATCTCCTAAGGAATAGAAAAACACATAGCAGAGAAATATGCTGTGAAATTAAGCAATGTGACGAAGTCTTTTCTTATCACAATCATCATGAAGTGCATAAAAGAACACACACTGCAGAGAAACCCTATGAATATGGTCAAAATGATAAAGACCTTCTTCCTCATGAAACTCATCTAAGTCATAAACGAACATACTGGAGAGAAATATTATGAAAATAATCAATGTGTTAAAGCCTTTGCACATCTCAGTCATCTTCAATTGCATAAAAGAACACATACTGGAGATAAACCATATGAATGTAATCAGTGTGCTAAGGCCTTTGCATGTCACAGTGATCTTCAAAGGCATAATAGAACACATATTGGAGGGAAACCCTATGAATGTAATGAATGTGGTAAGGCCTTTGCACGACATAATCATCTTCAATTGCATAAAAGAACACATACTGGAGAGAAACCCTATGAATGTAATCAGTGTGATAAGGCCTTTGCAGACCCCGGTACTCTTAAATGGCTTAAAATGTAACATACTCTAGAGATACCTGTGAATGGAATGTGGTAAATTCTTTTTCACAATTATCTCCAAATACATAATATGAGCCCTTCTGTAGAGAAACCCTGAAGATAATTTGGATACTTTTCAAAAACGTGAAAAAAATCATACTGTGGTTAAACTCTATAAATGAATTCAGTGTCATAATGTTTTGTACTTCATATAAGAGTAAGACTTTGTGTGTAGTCATCTAAGAAAACTTGTGCATATTATCATAATCTTTTGGACCTGAGGAAAAACTGGGAGCTTATTTTAAATTGTTCCTTCAGATGTTTAGCCACTTATAGTCAGTTAACCAAAATCAGTTATTGCATAGAAAAAAGTTTGATAATGTCAACAATTTGTTTATGCATCATTATAACTCTCTTTATTTTAGTTTGAACCAGCAAAGTAATGGATAAAACATTAGTGGAAACAGGAGGGGTTTTTCAACTTTGGTCTTTAAACCAGAGCCAAAGGAAAGAACTTTGTCTCTAAATCTAGAACTAGATAAAGAAACAACATCTTCCTGAAAACAGCCAAAATATTAAAATGGCCCAGTGAAAGAAACACAATTTGGCTCTCAAACCAGAGCTTTAAAATCCTAAAAGTTTCAACAATGTTTTTAAGCTCAAAGGATACCATTAACTGAAATATGAGAGACATGTAGAGTCAAATCTCTCATACATTTACTTGTATGTTTTGTATAAAAGTATCCTTAGAAGATGGGGATAAAATTATGGTTATCAGAAGATTGGGAGTGGTCATCAGGAAGGTAGGTAGGAGGTGATTACAAGAAATATTTTCTGAAAAAGAAAGATGGCTTGAAGTAATAAATGATGGAAAAATCACCCTTAACAGTGACTGCAAATAATATAAAATATTATGGAATTACCAACTAAAGAAGTGAAAGGACTATAGGAAAAGAACATTAAATCTTTGAAGAGGACAGCAGAGAATGGGAAGTAGTCCCTTGCCCTTGTTAGGTAGAAATCAACATAGCAATCTACAGGCTCACTACCATTCCCATGTAAATATCAGAAAAATTTTTCACAGATCTCAAAATAAAAACACTCAACTTCATATAGAAAAGCCACAAAAATTGCAGGATAGCCAAAACTATCCTATATAAAAATAATTTCTGCAGGCATCACATTCCTTGACTTCTTCAGATGAAAACAGAGCTGCAGTACTGACGAGAGCCTGGTGTTGGCACAAAAACAGATAGGAGGACCAATGGAACTGATGCTGGCTAAGACCCAGACATCACTCCACTCACCTACTACACCTGATTTTTGACAAAGCACCAAAAAATATAAAATGGATAAGACATATTTAACTAATGGTGCTGGCATAACTGAATATCAATGTGGGGAAGAATGAAAGTAGATCCACATCTATCATCATGAACAAACCTCAAGTCCCAATGGATCAAAGACTACAACATAATGACCTACACACTGAACTACATAAAACAGAATGGTGCCCGGGCGGTGGTGGCGCACGCCTTTAATCCCAGCACTCGGGAGGCAGAGACAGGCGGATCTCTGTGAGTTCGAGACCAGCCTGGTCTACAGAGCTAGTTCCAGGACAGGCTCCAAAGCTACAGAGAAACCCTGTCTCGAAAAACCAAAAAAAATAAATAAATAAAAAAACAGAATGGTGGAAGTACACTTGAACACATTGGTAAAGAGAACCAATTTCAAATTATAACCCCAGGCATCACAGACACTGAGAAAAATAATAAATGAGATCTCCTGAAGCAAAAGTTTCTGTAAACCAAAGGACATGATCAACAACACAAAAAAGCCAGTCTGTAGTATGGGAAAAGATATTCACCTACCCCACATTGGACAGAAGACTGATCTTCAAAACATGCAAAGAACTTAAATAATTGGTCATCAAATAAAAAATGGAGTACTCCAATGAAAATGGAGTACAGACCTAAATAAAAATCTTTTAACATATGAATCTAAAATGACTGAGAGACACTTAAGGAAATTTCCAAACTCTTTAGTCATTAGAGAAATGAAAATTAAAACAAATCTGAGATTCCCTCTTGCATCTGTAACAATAGGCAAGATCAAAATACTGATGACAACTTAAGCTGGAGAGGGTGTAGAGTTAAGGGAACACTCCTCCATTGCTGATGGGATTACAAACTGAGCCAGCCACTTGGAATATCAGTATGGTTATTCCATAGAAAATTAGAAAGTCACCTGACTGGTTGTGAGGCATGTCTTCATTCCCTGCACTTGGGAGGCAGAGATAGATTTCTGTGACTTCAAGGCCAACCTGGTCTACAAGAGCTAGTTCCAGGACAGGCTCCAAAGCTAAAGAGAAACCATGTCTTGGAGAACCAAAAATTTAAAAAAAAAAAGACTGAAAGGAAATTAGGAAACAGCTTATCTTAAAACCCAGCCATGCCCTTTGAATATGTACTCAATGGATACTCAATCATACCACAAGGACAAATGCTCAACTGTGTTCACAGCAACATTGTCAGAGCCAGAACCTGAAAACAACCCCTCCACTGAAGAATGGACAAAGAAATTGTGGTATATTTACACAATGGAGTACTACACGTGGATAAAAACAATTACGTCTTGAAATTTATGTGCATATTTATGGATCTAGAAAATATCCTAAAAGAGTGAGTTAACCCAGAACCAGAAAGAAAAATATATGTGCTCACTCCTAAGTGGCTTTTAGACATAAAACAGAGGACAATCAACCTACAATTCACAATGCCCAGAATATATACAACAAAGAGGAAACAGACATACATAAATCTATTCTATATAGGCCATAGAGAAAGACAAGATCTTAGTAAATTTGAAACATGTGAATCGTGGGAGAAGGGGAGGGGGGAGGAAGGGAGGATAGTAGACAAATATATAGTTGAATAAAAAACAATTAAAAAATCCTTGATACACAGCTGTTCCTGGGTGAATTATACAAAGTGATAGTATAAAATGAATAGCTAAAATATGGAACTTTGCTTAATTTTGTACCAGAATAAAATACTTCATCTTGCTAAGGCAGACTGATTTATGATATTTAATTTAAAAAAATCCTCACATTTTCCAAAAGAAAATTAAAGATTTGTACCATATCTCCCAATCTTCCCAAACCTATAATCACACATACAAACACACGAGACAGAAGTGTTTGATTTTACTTAATATAGCTACATTCATTCTAAGTTCATCATGTACTACCGAGTTCATGATTTAATGATGAATTTTGAAGGCTGTACAAGAGTGACAGACCCTGAACTATGTGAGTACTAATTGAATCTTTGACTTTTGAAAACACCAAGTTAGAGTGTAAGAATATCTTGGGCTTTTATAGGTCAGATGAGCACCTACAAAGCAATGGATCTTATATACAATATAGCTAGCATCCAGAATCAAGAGGTGGATTCAAGAAAGCAACCACACACTTTACAGATTCATTTACACTTTTAAGAGACCATGCCCAAGTGGATTGATATCTTAAAGCTATTGACTGAAGGAGCTCTCACAGCACCTACCCTTTTAACTTAATACGAAATTCCAAACCCTATAAAAAACTATGTACACAAGAAACAGATGTCAAAAGTAAAGTTAGAATTACAATTAGCATAATCAATATTTGGAAGGCATACATCCTAATGGTTTGATAAGCATTCTATCCTAAGGAGTCCATGTTGTAGTAGAAATGGCTTAACTAGATCATAAGAGGATGGTAAGTATGATTATCTCTTCTACAACCCCATCAAAAGCCTGAGATTATCAATAATATTACTTGAGTAGGCAGGTAGTGCAGTCTAGAAGCTTCCAAAAAATGTAGTAGATGACAGAGACAACTGACTGAGCAATCAACCAAATTCCCATCACAGTGTTGAAGAATAAGACTTCATATCAGAATATAAAACAATCTTTAAAGAACTATGCAGTAAAGCAGGACAATGACCTCAAAAGGTAAACAATGTATAAAATTCTTGATCAGAGGTAGAGTTTTATAATGCAATATGATAAATATATCATAAAATTGTGTCAATAAAAATATGTTTTAAACAGAGGTAGAATCTTGCATATATACAATCTGACAAAATAACCTTGTATAGTTGTTACAAATATTCTAAACAAAAATAGAAACATTCTATATAATAAATATAATTTGAATTTGTGTCAATATACAAAAGTCTATGTTGCGGGAGGTCCTCCCACTCCTCCAGCCTATCACCGCTGAGGTACCAGCCCACTGGGGCGTGGTTTCTCTCCCTTTAAAAAAAGCGGCCACTTCCCTCTCCTCGCTCTCTTCACTTCCTGCTCCGCCTGCGACTAGACTCCTTTCCTGGTTGCGAAGAGGGCTGTTGCCTGGGACAGTGATCTGTAAGTTTTTTCCCCTTTAAATAAATACCACCCTAATAATCATAACCCCGAATTGGTGTGGCATTGTTTGTGACTTACGCCTTCATTTTTGGCACCCAACGTTTGGTTTTAGAACCTCTCCTTTCCCCACTCGCAGCCGCGAGTTCGGCTTGGCGGCCCCAAGTTCGGCTTGGCGGCCCCAAGTTCGGCTTGGCGGCCCCAAGTTCGGCTTGGCGGCTGCGGGCTTGGCGGGCGCAAATTCAGCTTGGCGGCCGCGGGCTTGGCGGGCTCTAGTTCGGCTTGGCTGGAGCCCTCCCCTTCCTAGCCGCCAGCGGCCTTGGACTCCCCACGTGGATTTAAACTCCACAGGCCCGCGTAGTCTCTGGCCGCGTGGTTTGCTCTTTTCTGAGTCATTTTTAAATCTCCCTTGCAAGTACAGCTCTTAAGTGGCACGAACCAGAGCACGTGGTTGCTGAAAGCTGCAACCCCTCAGGGTGACTCTGTCACGTGGAGGCATAAGCGGCTTCCAGATTGCTCTTCTCTACCCCTGGATTCTGGGTTTCTGGTTCCGTCTCAGGAATTGATTTAATTACATTTACTTTGTTGAGAAACTTGCATTTTCCAGTTTTTAACATC